TTTTTTTCGGGACCAGGGATCAAACTCAGGACCCTGCGCTTGCCTGGCAAGCACTTATTCTACTGAGCTATCTCCACGGCCCCATGTAATTATCTTTAATGCCTGGGTTATTTTAGTTAGCCTTTTACCTTGGGATCTGCCTGGGGAAGAGTCCTTGGGGCCTGGTCAGTCGGTCATAGGTGATTTTGCCTCTGGATATGTGCCCATCTTTGGTGCATTTTTCTGGGGATATAGATGAGATATGAGTGTGCCTCCCGGAGCTTACATTTGTGTTCGTCAGCTATCTATTACTATAACCAAAAGCCTGACAAAATGAATTTATGAAAAGCAAAGGTTCCTGAATATGATGACACATGTAATCCTACAGGTGATGTCATGGGAAATCCTCCTACCACCCTTCAGTGTCTTGCTATGTAATTCAAACTGGCCTTGAACTCACTCTGCGGCCCAGGCTGCCTCAGACTCACAGCGATTTGCCTGACTCACCTTCCCAGAAATACTACCCTAAAAACCAAGCCTATATTTAACCCATGGTCCTTTAGGGCATTCACAACCCACACCCCAGCGTGTTCTGATGAGAATAGGCCAGCACCCGTGAAGCATAGCAGTGTACAAGTGTGATTAGGACCAGGTCCCGTTGTATACCATGAACCTTCATAGAAATTCAGACAAGGAATCAAGTAACCTTCAAGAACAGTTTGGAATGCCGGGCGTGGTGGCGCATGCCGGTAATCCCAGTGCTTGGGAGGCTGAAGTAGGTAGGTCGCTGAGTCCAAGGCCAGCCTGACTATATAGTGAGACCCTGTCTCAGAAAAACAATACAAAACAAAAAGATGGGTAGTTTAACTGATCTTGGCAAGTCTGTGAGGGAGGAATGAGAACTGGATAGCAGAGGAAAGAGATGGCTTTGGAGGCCAGAGGCCAGACAGCCGGCATCTGAAGGAGCGGCTACGAGGCTGGCGTGGATTGAGGCCAGCCAACCAAGTGTGCTACCCTAGACATGGGAGCAGGGGTACCAGCGGCTTATGCCAGCTCCCCACAATACTCAGTTTTCATCACTCAGCACCCCAGAGAAATCTCCTCATCTCTTGGAAGGCACATGGACTCTGGAAAAGAATGGGATTTTAGGTGCACTATAATTTTACCCTGTTGTCCAGCCAAGTTACTGAGGGCTTCAGAAATCTAAATGAAGTGCCTTCGATAAGAAAAGAAAAAGGCTGAGAAGTCTTTGGAAGCAAAGAAATATGACAGGCATTAACCTGGGCCCTTGAGCATGTAGCTTGTCATTTTGTACCCCAACAATCCCTGAGGTTACTTTTCATTATTATAATTTTACAAATTAGAAAGCAAGTTTGGAAAGTTTCTAACTTGCTTGTTCAGGTCTCCTCAGCTAATGGGTGCTAATTTGTATTCTTTTTTTTTTTTTCTTCAGTCAGATTTTATTGTTTTGTTTTTTGTTTGTTTGTTTTCTTTCTTTTTTTTTTGTGGTACCAGGGACCAAACTCAGGTCCTGGTGCTTGCCAGGCAGTCACTTATGCTGCCGAGCTATCTCCCTGGCTTTATTGGTACATTTTCGATGTACATTGTGATCACATTCGTCATAGAGAATTTGTACCGGTATGCGAGATGATTGATGTTTTTTTTCTCTGTTCCCCTGCCCTCCCTTCAACCCCTCCTTCCTTCCCCACTTACAAAATGGTTCGTGTTCGGTGACCTCTGAGCTGACTGCACGCCCTCTGCAGCTCTCCCTCTGCTCTGTCTATGCTTGTGGTCTCTGCCAGAGCCAAGCGGCTCTTCCCCAGCTTTCACTGCTGCTGACTTCAGATGAGGGCTCCGAGCTAGACAGTCTGTTGTCCTGAGGAGAGGAAGCAGACTTCCTGCTGGAGGGGTCTCTAACTTCTTCAGAGTTTGTCCCTAAAAGCTGACAAACTTGACGCTTGGTACCGCCTGGGCGAGCAACTGTGTCTTGTGCCAGCATCGCGCACTCCCTGCCTAACGGCTGACCGTGTAGTCTGTTTCCACAGGGCAACTCGAGCGATCTTACAGAGGTGTCAGTCAGATCCCGCTAACGCCCTGCTCCCTACCTCACTGCCCACAGCAGCACCCCTGGAATGCACAGCCTTGTCCTGGGGAGAGCCCTGCACTGCCACCCAAGCACGCTGGTGTCATCTGCCCTCCACTCACCACTGTCCCCTTTCACACTGGTCTCTCTTCTGCTCCATGAACATGATCAAGCCGCTGCTGCTTTGGGACCTTGCCCTAGGGGGCCATGTCCTCTCTGCAGCATCCTGCTGTCCTCGCAGCCTGGGCTTCTGGCTTTGCCCTCTGCACAGGCCCCCTCCCCAGGCCCTTCCCAGACCTCTGGTTTGTTGGGGCAATCCCGTCTCACTCACCACCTTTTTAGTTCCCCACACAACATTCACTGTCATCAGATGTTTAGCCACATGTCCACTGCTCTCTCCAGAGAACTGTGTCCTGACGGGAGGGCTGTCTCCTCCGTGAATGGCTGAGTGAATGGAAGAAAAGCCCGTCTGCCTGACAGACATCTGTCTTCTCCAATTCCTTTTGCAGCCATTCCCCATGTAATTATCACTATTGCTTCATTGTGACCACCTCTAGTTGGTTACATAAGTGAATCACCCGTGCATTATAGTTAATTTGTAATAACTGTCTTTGCTGATTGAGAAGCTCTTATCAGCTGTGGAGCCAGCTTCTGCAGTTCAGATCTCTCTCAGACTGACAATGGACCCTTGGGCAGCTTGCTCAGCCCTTCCTCCCACATCTCAGCTGAGAAGAGGCAGCTAATTGTAGCTACTCCACTGGGCTGTGTGAGGATTAAACGAGTTGGTAGGTGCAAAACAGCTAACACAGTGTCTGGCACAAGGTAAATATTAGACAAAAATTAGATTTTGTTGCTGGCCCTGCCCCCGGGGTGCGCTGAGACCGCAATTGAGACTGGGCATGGTGGCACGGGCCTGTAATCCCAGGACTTAGGAGGCTGTAAACAGGTGGATCACTACCTAGTAGTGAGACCCTGAATGCCCTGTAGACTCTTGCCTAAAAATATGGACAAAGATAATTAGATCTTGTATCTAAAAAAGGAAAAGCATTGTTGAGCTGAGTTTGGGAAGGAGTGTGAGAAGATGCAGTCATGGGGTGCCCACAACACGTGTCACGTCTTGCATCTCCAGCCTGTGTGATGCGTGCTGTTCATGTTTGTAATCACAGATGCTGAGCTGGCGCCTCACTTCTGAGCCGAGCTCCGCGCTCAGCGCCTGAGCACCAGCGCCATGTTGTGCTGGCTTCCTAGAGAAAGTGGCTTCCCTGGGAATTGCCTTTGCTTAGGCTTAAGAGACTTTATGAGTGAAGTTCTGAAACTTAACCCCCTTTTGTTAATAATTTAGCGGGCCAGAGCAGTTCAGCGAAGATACACTCAAGTCCAGTTGAGTTATATCTTTACATCTAGCTTTCTGCTGTTGTGTTATAAAAAAAAAAAAAAAAAAAAAAGAATGCAGGAAAACATAGAAGTGGAATGAATGGCTGTCATCCTTACGTACTGTAATAAACAAGATTCTTAGCGACAAGTAACAGGGACCTGCAGTCGATTCAAGCCTTTGATCTGTGTCTTCCTTGCAGATCGCGGTCACAAGGAGCACTGCCCTTTCCCCGCACCATCCACACATCCACAGCAGCCTCCCAGCATGGCTCTGGGTGGCCACTTTAGACCTGGGCCGGTCCCTAGAGTGTGTACCCCAGGCTAGGATGGAGGACAGGGTTTCTGATCAGCAGCCTGGTGGTAAGTGATATCAGGCACATGCGTGATCACGCCCACCAGGCCACATCGAGAAAGGAGCGCTGTTTGTTAAAGTATGAGATTCAGCAGACACTAACAGAAGCTTATCATCCAGGACTAATAGTACACTTGGGTTTGACCTATGTATTGGTGGTCAGTAATGGATGGTAATGGAGAGCGAAGGCAGCCTAAAAAATAAGTCCATGGCTCACCTTCCCCTGTAAAGTAGGCAGTGAGACGACAGTCCCTTGGGTGTGGGGCAATCCCAGCAACAGCTGCAGCAATTTCTCCAAATCCTGGTTAAGTGCAAGCAGCTGGTGAAAATTCTGTTTGGGAAAACAGATAACATGGTTTGAGTATTAATTGATCTATGAAATTGCTTAAAAGGTTCATTCAGCATTGATGGGAAAGAAGAGTAAAAGAGAAACATGTTAGCTACTTTGAAAAAAGAAGAGCCAGGCTCAGATCACCAGGGAAAAGGAGAAAGGAAGAAAGTCAGCTGCCTTTTATTTTAACTTGTGTGTCTTATTTTAACTGTGACCCCAGGAAAGCTTATCTGATGAAGGGGCATTGCCTACAAATGGGAGGATGAAATAGCATGATTCCTGTTCCAACACGTACGTGTGTGTGTGTGTGTGTGTGTGTGTGTGTCTGGCAGTGTGTGTGAAGAACAAAGATGTGTTCACATGAAAGCTGGGAGTGGCAGTGCAGCGGAAAGCAAGAATGAATACAAGCGGGGCGAGGGCTGGGGTGGCCCTGAGCTTTCGGCTGTGTCTGTGTGTTTATATCTGTGTGTCTTTTTAGACAGGGTCTCACTATGCAGTTTAGGCTGGCCTTGAACTCTCTTTGTAGCCCAGGTTGGCCTCAAACTTGGGATGCTCCTCCTGCCTCAGCCTCCCAAGCACTGAGATTGTAGGTGTTCACCACCATGCCCAGCTCCACCGCTTCCTATGATAGGCCTATCGCTTCGTGTGCAGAAGCCTTACCTTTAAGTGTGAGTGAGAATCAGAAGAAAGTAGCTCTGAGTCAATCCAGTGTCACTGGAAGAGCTCTTTTGACCACACCCTGCGTAGGAAATGCATTTCACTGGACCCAGAATTATTTAACTTTATGTCATAGTGCACTCTGGCTTGTGCTCTGTATTCATCTGCCCTACTCTTACAGTCCGCTGCAGGACTTGGCTGTCTTGCGTTCCGGTGCTGGTCCTGACCACCCGAGGGCGGCAACCTGCTCTGGGCCCGCCCTACCTGGCAGGTGGTGGAGAAGGCAGGGGTCCTGGTGCAGCAGCAGCAGTGGTCCTGGCAGAGTTAAAGCGCAGGGCCACCCCAGCCCCTGCAGCCCTCCCGCCTCCGCCCCGCGCTTGTATTCATTCTTGCTTTCTCCTGCACTGCTGCTCCCAGCCTTCATGTGACCACATCTTTGTTCCTCACACACTGCCACTTTGTTCCCTGGCCTTGCCGTGCACGCCTCACAGCTTTGCCCTGGGCACTGATTGGGTAATGCTCAATGGCCTTCACATACCCAAAGGAGAGGGTGCATCCCCACCCCCCATTTTAGGGGTGAAGAGGGCTGGAGTTAAAGTTTAGAGGGAGAAACTGGCCTCCCTGACAGGAAAGCAGGGCCTGGCGAAGGTGGGTGTGCTAGCAATGGCTTCCGGCTGGCGGAGGTAGATAGGAGCGTGCTGAGAGCAGCGAGTCAGGTTCAGAAGGAAGCGTCTTTCTCACCCTCTTCCTCCTTCTTCTTGCTCCTGTAGGTAAATTCTACTGTAAACCACACTACTGTTACCGACTCTCGGGCTACGCACAAAGGAAGAGGCCAGCAGTGGCTCCTCTGTCTGGAAAGGTATGGCTGTCCTTCACGTAAGTGGAAGAGAAGCAGTGGGCCACGCTGGTGTGGCTGCAGGGCAGGGCCGGCCCAGCACGTGCGGCCTGTCCTCCCAGGGTCTGTCTGGGGAGATAACTGGCTATCCAGGCACAGATGGCCTGCACCTCCCTAAGGTAATGCCCCTTCTCCCACCTGAGCTGGATCGGGATTGCACTGGTCTTCCCCTCTGCTCACCCTGCGTGGAATGTGCTGGCTCTGTGAACGAGCCTGTTCTTTTGGAGGAGGATAGCTTGCTGCTGTGTCCTTTTTCATATGGCTGAAGCTATCTTCATGAGTGGTTGCGCAGGAGAAGCACCCTAGGCAGGAGTCCCTTTCGCTTCTGTCTCCCCACCCTCAGCAGCCACAGGCACAGACAGTCCTGCTCTCTGCTCAGGAGGAGCGTGCTGTGTTTGCCCTCCCTCCTGGGCCTCAGCTCCTTCATTCTGCAAGTTACTTGTCCGGAATCTTTCTTTTGTTTTCCAATAAGAACGGCTTCTCGAATCCTCTTTGTCAAGGTGACTTGAGTAATCCCTTCACTGCAGGGGCAGCACTTCGTCAGTGTGCAGGCTGATTGCTGCTGCTTTAAAGGCTCTGTGGACAGCAGAGGGGCTGCGGGCCGCGGTGTACCATCAGCCTCCTGTGTGCTGAGCTCCACTGTTGTGGATTTCACCAGCAACCAGAGAGGATGCGCATAAGTTCTGGGCTGATGTGGTGCTGTGTTATATGAAGGGCTCAGGCCAAGGATGTGGCCTGGTGGTGCGGGCCCTGAGTTTAATTCCTGGTACCAAAATTAAACAGACTGGCACATCCACAGATTGGGTTACCTGTGGGGTCCTGGAACCCATCTCACGGATACTGAGGACCAACTGTATACTTAGGTTGTATGGACTTTGACTCCTAATGACTTCTGTGTCATGTGTGTCCCTGTTTCTCTAAAGACTTACTGTACAAGCAGTACAGCCCTGAATGATAAGAGCCATTGGATTGAGGGCTCAGCCAGTTACTGTCCTTTCTCTGTGGCCTTTCTAGGAAGCCAAAGGACCCCTGCAGGATGGCCCTGCTGCAGACGCACACGGACGGGCCAGCACCGTTGCCAGCTCAGCCGAGAGGACCCCAGGTAGCCTCACTTCCTTGTTTGACTGGGTGGTACGTCACTCTCTCGGCCTCTGTGACAAGGCCAAGGGGATGAGCCAGCACCTCCAAAGCAACATTTCGTCAATTGGGCACCAAGTGGCTCAGAACCCTTTGGACTCCTTTTTCATGTGCCAGCTGCTTGCATTCGGGGTCCCCTTTCTCTATGGTCTGTCGGAGGTACTGGTGCAGATCGGAGGGGAGTTTCACTGGCAGGCTGTGAGCCAGTAAGGGGCCTTCTGAGAAGCAGGGTCACCAAGTACTGATGACATGCATCGGGGTGTGGTCCCTGTAGCCCCTTCCCACCTCCCACAAACACACTGGGTGCTTGGCGCAGACCCTGCAGTTAAACAGGAACGCAAAGAAAGCTGGGCCCGCTGGCCCAGATGAGAGGCCAGAGGAGCCAGGCCTCCTAGTGGGTCTTGTTCAGGATTTCTGTGGCGGAGCATAGGAGTTGTGGTCAGTGAGGCCCTGTGGTCTGAATTTGTGTTCAGCAAACTTGATGTTTTTACATCTCATCCCCCAGCTAGGTGTCTGGATAAGCTAAAGGACATGCTGCGTCCTGACCAATTTGGGGCATCTGAGCTTCCAGTGAGGCTCATGGTCTCTCTGTCCCAATGTCATCCTCCTTCCTGTGGCATCATTCTGCCTCCACAACACACAGGGGAGGCCTGGGCTGGTGCAGGAGCTGAAGCCTCTGGAGGACCACAGTGGTGTTTTTCTCCTTTAATTGTTCCTGTTGAGCTCAGGAGATAGCTCAGCGGCATAAGTGTCTGCCTGGCAAGCGCAAGGTCCTGAGTTCGATCTCTGGTACCAAGAAAAATAAGTTGCCCCTCTCTGCTTCTTGTAAACCTGTAAAGTGAGTCCACAGTTGTATAAACCTCTGGGGCCCCAGGACAGCCCAGGCCATCCACAGCTCAGGGGCACTATGTAGCTGAGAGGAAGTTGACAAGGCTGTGTTTGTGTTTGTCGCACATTTCCTCTTCTTCATAGCAAGTATACCTCACATAGCCATTTGTAAACACATACAAAATGATCAGCCAATGCCAGAAACCTTGAAGAAAAAGTTGGTAGCGGAATTTTGAGGATGGAAAAGGGAAGAATTCTCTTAGGTTTCAAATGAATCATCCCCCAGTTGCTTCTTTTCTTATGCTAAGGAAATTGAGCCCAGTGATGCTGGTCTGGGAGAGACCCACCTGCTTGGTGTCCATCCCAGCAGCAGTGCCCGGAGCCCTGCAGCCTGAGACCTGGATGAGCAGGGCACACGCAGCTTGTGCTCTTACACGCGTGTCCTGATCACACTAGGAGGGCCCTGAAAGTGGAACCCACATCTGCCAGCCATGCTTCAGCCACGAGTGCCTGGCACAGTCTGGCCCTGTGTGGTCTTTCTCAGGAGGTGGGGGCGTTACTGTGAGAGAAAATTGCAGGGAGCTAGGCACGGCCTTGGCTGTCGCCATGGAGCTGTTCAATGAGGTGAGAGCACCGCCCTGTTGGTCCAGGCCTCTGTGCAGCACAAATGGGTTTTCTAAGGAATCTGACACTGCTGTCAAACGACACAAGGAAATGGAACTTTTTGAGTGAGAAGTACAGAATATAGTTTTAAAAGAGGTAAATGCAGTGAGATTCAGTTATTTTCTGAACAAACCGAGTTTGCTCACTTTCCTGTCAGGTTCAGATTGCATTTCTGTGATTGAAAGGTGTAGTGGACTTCAGGGTTCTGAGAATGCTAAAGGCTTTAGGGTTCCGTAGAAGTGAAGAAGAATGTTCTACAAAGCTGAGAAAGAAGATGAAAGTTGGCAGTGTGACTACAAAATCAAAATAAGAAAGAGCCAGCACCCTGAGGATGCTTCAGACCCTGTGGTTCTTGATTCTGAACTAGAACATGCCTAGCCTGTTACAGCTCAGCAGCTCTGTGGTCTCCCAAAGGTACCCTAAGCTGAGCCAGGCAGGCCCTCTCCCCCTATGCAAGGTGCCCTCTGGACAGCAGGAAAGCCCGCGAGCTCAGGAGTGCTGAGATTCCTGTCTATGCTGGAGACACAAGATTTTGGAAGCTGTAGCTCCGAGCCTGACACTTTCTCTGGGGGCTAACCTGTGCTTAGCCTATGTGGAAAAGGGACAGCGTGTGGTGGGATGTAGCTGCCGTGACAGATTTCTTTTCTCCTTTGATAGAGATTTCTTTTTTAAAAAAAAAAAAAATCCCAGACCAAAGCATTGGTTACTCAACTAGAATTTCTCTTGGAAAGGCTACAGAAAAGCTAGAGTTTGAGGGGTCCAGACTGTGTGGCAGGGAGCAGTCATTAGCACAGACCCCAGCCATCTCCCCCACTCCCTGAGAACCAGAAGGGCTGGGATGAGTGAACTGTCATGGGTGGCTGTGCTAATCTCCCGAGAACCGAGTCGCTGAGCCAGGACTGGTAACCAGGGGTATTTGCACCTGCTTTGCTTGTGCCCTGTGCCTCCTCTTAGGGCATTTCTATTTTCCCTTGTGTTCTTTCCCTTTGTACCAAAATGACCTCTGTTTCCCACAAATACACATACACACACCAAAACCAGCATGACCCACAAGTTAAAAGAACCTAGCGTAGGCCTGCTTTCAAGTGTTGTCTGTTTCGGTAACCTAATCTGTAACTGCTGCCTAATCTAGTGGCGGGGGACATCGTTTACAGTATTTGTGTTTGTAATGTGCTTTTAATAGAGAAGCCATGGCTTCTGTTCTCAAGCCTGTAAATGCTGTGGGTCAGTGGACCTGGTACAGATGTCCTTCCTTCCCTGGCCTCAGAGTACATACCCTGATGTGAGGAAGAGTGAGGGCAGCAGGCAGAGAAGACAAACTCAGGTGGGATTCCTCTCCTGAGGCTGCGTGGGAAGCCCTCACTGACAGGTGTGGGGACTCTTTCCTTGCCTGGAGGAATTCCCTTTTATCTCATGCTGTGGACAACAAAACAAGAGGAAAGGGCCTAGGGGAAGCCTTACAGCCTTTCCTCGAGCTCTTCAGCCAGGGACCTTTGACCTTCTGCAGACTGGCGTAGGGCACACTGTCGTATCATGGGAAAGGCAGTCTAAGTCAAGAGGCTGCCGAGTTACAAGTGCCATCACCTGGCTCTGTCCCCAGACACCCCTTGTATGTTGGCTTCCATAGTTCAGACCCTGAACAGGCCAGTCAAAGCCCGCCAGGTGGTGCAGGCATTTCCTTCAGCCCTGGGGCTCCTGCCTAACAAGGAAGTTAGGAATCTTACAGCCTCCCAAGTCCTCTTCCCTCTTAGGCATTTCTGGAAAATCTCGCAGAGAGGTCTGCAATCCAGCCTACCTCCCCCAACCCTATCACAGCATCATGGTTGAGTCTGTGGTAAGGGCTGTTATGTATCTGTATATAGTTCTCAGTTCATAGATCAGGATATATATTTAAATATAATAATAATAATAATAATAATGCTGCTTCTAAAATTCTGTGCTCCATCCTTCTGGAAATGGAGGGAGCTGTGACACTGGGAACTTTGCCTTTGAGCTAGTTCAGGTTTTAGGGACCACGGCAGCCCAAGAAGAGCACATGTGAGGAGTGGAGAATGTGTATCTCGGAGCAGTACAGGCCTGCAAGGTCTGATGATTGAGTCAGGAGCAAACTGGAGGCAAGAGTTAGCTGCTGGCAGCGTCCACAGAAAGCCAGTCCCCACCTGCCCTTGCGTTTGTTCTTGGACCTCTCTGCTGGGTCGCTTACTGCAGCTGTCTGCCATCACTTGGTATTTGCTCTCTTTGGTTGCCTTCTACAGGACTGTACCTTGTTAGGCCTTCCTGGAAGGGGATCCTGCCATCCCCAGTCATTCACCTGGGGTAGGGGCAGGGAAAGACAGCAACCAGGTTCCCATGGCAACAGCATAAAGCTGCCAGAACAGGGGAGAATTAGCTGTGCCAAAAAACGTATCACCTGTCCACTCTAACCTTCCCTAAAGCCTTTGTTTTGCCCTTGTTTTTAACCTGTGCTGTTGTGAGTTTTTGGTGTGTTTCTTTGTGAGTTTTTATTTAATTGTGTAACTTTGTTTTTGCCGTTACTGTGAAATCACGGTGTTGTGCTTTTAAATTTTTCTTTTGACAAATGTTACATTCTTAAGAGAATAAATTCCAAACAATCTTCAGGTTTCTGAGTTTTTCTTTTCCTTCCCTTTTTCCTGACTGGAGGGTGGGGACAGGGGAAGTGCAGGCAGACCCTGGGCGTGGGCCTCAGGACCGGTTTCTGCCCTGGGTCAGGGAGAGAGGCCGACAGCAGAGTCGCCCTTGGGGCAGGAGCTGTCTGTGCCTGTGTGCATCCTCACCCGCGGCCTCTCTGTTTAGGCCGCAGGAATGGTGCAGAGGTTCTGCTTCACAGCAGCTGTAAGTAGACAAGAATAAGAAAGATGTCAACTATGCCTGTGTGTCCCCTGTGCAGTCAGCCTGAGGGACTTGGGCAGGGAGAGCGAGCTCCCACACAGCTCGCACCTGACCCGGGGACACAGGGCCAGGTAAGCTCCTCTGTGCCTGGCTGTAGCAGCCCCCCAGAGTGGAACTACAGCCACCCCGCCAGGCCCCTGCTGGGCACCGTAGCCACACTGTGCTTCCCGCCCCTCCCCCCCTTATGTCTCCCTTGCTGTCTTTGCTGGGAATGGGCATTGAGTGAGGATACCTGTTTCTGCCTGGCCACTCCCAAGCCTGCAGGGATAACCCTCCACAGTGAGTCCCCCACTTACAAACCCTGGCGTTGCAAACTTTAACAGTCAGACTGACTGAGAGTCATTGCTGGAACCCGTTCCTCAGTGGGGACCTTTATTAAGACATGGACTGTCCCCGCTCACACGTGCTGCTGTGATCTTAGAACTGGCAGTTTCTGCTGCATCAGTATGCCAAGCACAGGGGGCAAGGCCCAGCTTCATTGCCAGATTGAGCCAAAAGAGGGCATCTCGGGCAAAGTGCTTAGCACCAAGCCAGCACCACTGGGCTCTGGGAAGTCTGGGTGTT